GGTATGTACAGAATGGCTACAGCTCAAGTTCCTTACCAGAGAAGGAGAGAGACAGAGAATTAGAGTATGGAAGATGAAGCAGGAGAGGTATGTAGAAGCAAGAACATAAAGGCTTTGTATGCCATGCTAGGCAAGAGTTTGGATCGGTAAAAGATTTCTGTAAAGGGACAGATAGGAAGTATTTTAGGCTTTGTGGACCGTATGGTCTCTGTTGCAGCTACTCTGCTATCATGTTGCAAAGGCAGCCACAGACAATACGTAAAGGCATGAGCATGGCTGTGTTCCATTAAAACTATACTTATGGGCACTGAAATTTTAATTTCATACAATTTTTGGTGTCCTTTATTTTTCTTTCGATTTTTTTCCTACCATTTAAAAACATGAAGAACATTTTTAGCCCATGGGCTGTACATAAAACAGGTAGTGGCAGCAGTTTGCCAAACCCTGCTGTGGTGTATAGACTGGACCTTAAGGTGTCAAGTTAACTGGTCAGATTACAAAATGAAGTTGGGCATTTCCCTTCAAATCTCTGGAAGTACTGACCATCTTCTCGTTATTTCCTGCTAGCAAACAAATACATGTGGGCCTCTGTTTTGTCACTAGCTTGTTTTAATACTTAGAGTGAGATGGTATGCTAATTCAAAGGGGGAGAAATTTATTTCAGGCCATTGAATGGTGAAATGACATTTACCTACTGCATATATAAATTTCATAATAATTAGTGGGCATTTGACACTGATGAAATCTGATTACTGCAGCAAAATCAGCCTTAAACTAGCTCCCCAGTACCAACAGAGTATGTCTTTGAATTAAGAGCATTAGGGATATGTGACAAAAAGTACCAGGTATTAAGAAACCAGCTCTGTATTTATACTCATCTGTTAAATGAAGATAATACCAACGACCTCATAGTGCCATGATAAGAAGGATAAAAGAGAGTGTTGGGCACACAGTAGGGTAGGTTGCTCTGTCTATCACAGATAGGCCTGATTTTACCAAGTCAGATTCTACTGGGAACCTTTTATTTGGAACTAATTTTCAAGCTAAAAAGCTGATTAACATGAATTCAAATTGTGAAGAAAATATATCAATTTTACTGAGTTTATACTAATGTTTTATTTTAAAACCTGTGGAAGTACAAAAGTACAAAGTACTAATCTGGAGAAACATTTATTTTTAAACTTGCTGCTTCATGGTCCAATTTTTTATTATTTTATAAGAGCCACTGTCTTAGTTATCTAGTGCTGCTAATACAGAAATACCACAAGTAGATGGCTTTAACAAAGAAAAATTTATTCTCTCACAGTTTAGGAGGCTAGAAGTCAAGGCGCCAGCTCCAGGGGACGGCTTTCTCTGTCAGCTCTGGGGGAAGGTCTTGTCATCAATCTTCCCCTGGTCTAGGAGCTTCTCAGCAGAGCGACTCTGGGTCCAGAGGACACCCTCTGCTCCCGGCTCTGCTTTCTTAGTGGTAGGGGGTCCCCATCTTCCATGCTTGATTCTTTCTGTTATATCTCAAAAGAGACCGACTCCATATACAACTTAATTCTGGAGATTAAGTTCTGCCTCATTAATATAACTGCCTCTAATCTTACCTCATTAACATCACAGAGGTTAGGATTTACAGCACATGGGATAATCACATCGGATCAAAAACTGCTGGACAACCACACAATACTGGGAATCATGGCCTAGCTAAGTTAACACACATTATTGGGGGACACAATTCAATCCATAACAGCCATGTATTGTGTCCTATTATAACCAAAGCCATCTGAAATTTAAACAACTGTCCTCTGGGTCTCTGATGTAACTGACTATCAGTAATTCTGATTCTGTGATTTTGGGTACGTTACTTAACTTTTTTAAGGGACAATACACCTATGACAAGGATCGTTTGAGGATTAAATGAGCTGTTTGTAAATTGTTACATAATGCCAGGTATATAGTATATGCTCGATCAATGTTAGCTATTATTAACCTGAAATCTCGTAACAGTCACTATTTCAGTTTCTGTCTAAATGTCCCACCAACCAAGAGTTCTTCCAATTTTATAATAACCATATTACCCAAACCAAACCAATTGCCATTAAGCTGATTCCAACTCATGGTGATCCCATGTGTTACAGAGTAGACTGCTGCACAGGGTTTCCTTGGCTGCAATCTTTATGGAAGGAGATTGCCAGGCCCTTCTTCTGCAGTGCTGTTGGGGAGATTTGCACCACCAACCTTTAGGTTAGTAGATGAGCGCAAACTGTTTGTGCCATCCAGGAATCTCAATTTTACACTTCTCTGTAATTCTAGAACTAAAAGGATCTAGAAATTTCACAGTCCAACAGTCTCATTTTATAAATAGATTCACTGACCTAAGTCATACAGGAAGGTATAGCTTGATATAAAGAGAGAGGGCTCTACAGTCAGACAGGCCTGGTTTTGAGTCCTGGCTCCACCAGCCCATCAGCTGTGTGAATTTGGGCACATTACTTAATTTTTCAAAACTTCAATTTCCTCATTAAAAAAATAGGGATTAAATGAGATAATGCTCATGAGTTAAGTGTGGAGCACAGTGCCTAGCATGTTTAAGAACTCAATTAACGTTTGCTACTATTATTAATCTTAAAACCCAAAACCAAACCATTGCTGTTGAGTCGATTCTGACTCACAGCGACCGTACAGGACAGAGTAGAACTGCCCCATAGGGTTTCCAAGGCAGTAATCTTTAGGGAAGCAGTCTGTCACTTCTTCCACAGAGAGACTGGTGAGTTCGAACTGCCAACCTTTCAGTTAGCAACCAACAGCTTAACCACTGCACCACCAGGGCTCCTTATTACTGATCTTAGTCTTCCTGTTACCATAAAATTATATTTCCTCTCTTAATTTTTTGAAGAAATGTGTGTAAATTGCTCCTGATTTTAATCTGAATTTGACTCGTATCTAACCATACGGGCCACACCGAAGCAGACTATTTAAAATATTTATTTTCCAAGTCAGGCAAACTCTACCTCCTCTCCCTTTCTGTCTGTGACTCCTTAGTTAGTATACCCTTTTAGACCCGGGGTCCCTACGCTGAGAGGCTCCTAGACCAGGGAAAAATTGATGACAAGGCTCTTCCCCCAGAGCCGACAGAGAGAGGAAAGCCTTCCCCTGGAACTGGTGCCCTGAATTTGTACTTCTGTCCTCCGAAACTGTGAGAGAATAAATTTCTCTTTGTTAAAGCCATCCATTTGTGGTATTTCTGTTATAGCAGCACTAGATGACTAAGACAAAGCCACCGTTCAATTTCCAGTTACCTTGCAGACTTCCAGTGTTTCCATCTTTGCTCCAAGGATTCTGGGAATTCATATGTAAAAACCCTGTGCTAAGTATTTCTGTGAAATACTCTGCTAAAGTCTACATAGTAAGGAACAAAAGATAGTGTTTTTGGAGATTCCAGGCAGTTGTGGGTCAATGACCTTCACAGAAAGTACCCTTCCAATTCATTTGCTTCAAGAGGCTAAGGAAATAACTTATTTCCTTTTCCCTCTTTTCTATCTGGTTTCTCTGATGTGTTCCCAGATCCTCAAAGAAAGATTCCGATATCCATGAAATCTTAATATGCCTGTTTTAATCCAGGAAAAATAAAGAACAGTATGCCACTATTTAAGACGGGGAAGAGTCCATCACTACTTGAGGGAGAATTTGGTTCAATCTTAGAAATTACTAAAAGAGTCTTTCTTCCCCAGTTAACAAGGAAGTGATGTCAAATTGCTCGACTTTGCATGGAATTCCACTACAGGAGCATGCCCACTGAAGTAATCCTACAAACTTGGAGATTAGTCCAGCAGCTGAAATCTTCATCTCTTGCCAGACAAGCTGCAGTAATTTTTGGCATTTTCTACAGACCTTGTACTTGACATCATTTAGCCTAGACTCAGACCCTGACCTTGCCTTTGTAGTTGGGGAAGAGTTTTAATCTTTTCAAGAGGGAACAAATCTCAACAGAAACAACCTAAGTGTGAAAGGCCTTACCCAACCCTTCTCTCAATGTGTGCTATTTACTCTTTAATGCTGATCTTTAATCTCAGATGTTCATCAGAATAGGGTAACTTCAAATACTCCCTCATGTCTGAGAAACGTTAAAATCATAATTTGCTGTTATTGTTCTGTTTTTCTGTTTTTTGTTTTGCCTTGAAGCAGAGGTAAGACTTCCAGAAAGGCCATATGGATAACTTTAAATACTCCTCTCACATTAATGATTCTATCTCTTTATCAGCTTTGTTCATCTGACTGGATTAGATTTAAATTTTCCTTTAGCTGTGAATATTTGACAAGGTTCCCTAGGTACCCTGGAACTTTATCCACACGAAACCACTACCTGCCTCTGGAAATCAAACCTTTCAGTAGGTCAGGTCATGAATCAGAGGTAGTGACATTTTCTGAACTTTGCTTGGATTCTCTGATGTTTTTTTGTTGGCCCACGTAGATATGGTAAGGAGCTGTTTATTTATAAGGTTGCTGTTGTTGTTAGGTGCCATTGAGTCAATTTTCGACTCACAGCGACCCCATGTGACAGCATAGAACTGCCCTATAGGGTTTTCTAGGTTGCAATCTTTACAGAGCAGATTGCCAGGTCTTTCTCCCACGGAGCCACTGGGTGAGTCTGAACTGCCAACCTTTCAGTTAGCAGCCAAGCACTTAACAATTGCACCATCACTGCCGTTGAGTCACAGTGATCCTGCAGGACAGAGCAGAACTGCCTCATAGGGTTTCCAAGGCTATAATCTTTACAGAAACAGACTTTCATATCTTTCTCCCACGGAGTGGCTGGGTGGGTTTGAACTGCCAATCTTTTGGTTAGCAGCCAAGTGCTGAACCGCTGAGCCACCAGGGCTCCTTATTCATAAACGTAGGGGGTTTTATTTTCTATTTCTCTTGTCTTGCCTTCTCTCCACATTGCCTCCTCAGCATATAATACAGTGTGCAGCACATTAACTGGGCATGCATAGTGGTTTGCTCTTACTCACCAGAACATTTCATAGCTTCTACTTCATCTTTCTCCCTCTCTTTAATTGTTTCAAATATGGTATTTTGAACATTCCACGTAGTTCAGAGACTCACTGTGTAAGCCTGTCACAAATTATCTACATCCTTAGCATTTACTCCAATGTTAGGAAATCTTCTGAAAGAAAACAGAATTTTGGTTAATGAGGGCAGTAGATTACAGTTCACATGGCCACAGATGGTGGGACTACTGATGGGCTAGATGTCCAAAGACCCAGGTTAAGCAATAACCCTCACCTACAACATTTTCAACTAGACTTAAGTAACTTTAGAATGGTGTCTTTAGTTATGGACAATAATACTAGATATCGAACTTTTGACCTAGTTGTGATTATAATTACCAAGTGAACAGAAATTTGTTTTTCCACTGGCATTCTGTCTTTTGAAAACACGAAGAAAGGAAGGTAATTATAGGCACCTAATATCAGATTTAGTAAGAATCACTGGGAAAAAAAAGCAGAAGTGTGATTTAATGATCTGAGAAATTAAGCAAAAGTGTCAAGTCTGAAGAATTTAAAAATGGTTGTAGGTCAAAGCATTAAAAACTTATTTGGAGATGGAGTGGCTATAAGGGGAACATGGTGAGGTATCTGCCAGGGGTTAATTGCAACCCTGCATGAAAAGCAGTTAACAAGTGAGAATTAGAACACCCAAGAGGAAAAGAAAAATGTTTCCAGTGCCATGAGAAATAAACAACAAAGGAGAAATATTTCCTTTGGCTACCACTACCTCCTTTCGAAAAGCTCAGAGGAGCTATGGGGAATGCCAAGGACTGGTTTTCTCTCAACTCCCTCTGAAACATTTGTCTTCATTACCACTCTTTTTAATCAGGGCTCCTTCATGAGTGTTTCTGCTCAGCCCCTAAGGGGCAGCTCTGGTCTGCAATAAATCAGAATCCACACCGCAAGTCACTAATCGGCACTCTCAGGGAAAGAAAAACAGTGAAGTGCAGACCACTGTGGGCTGAAAGGGCCTGGAGGCCCACAGGCCTCGAGGAAGAAAGGCCTTTAGATAGAAATAGTAAGTCAGTGAAGTGAGTAGGACTCCAATATTTAAGATTTATTTAAAAGTCTCAAACACAAAATGTTCACACTTGATTGTAAGAGTTTGGAATATAATTCCATTTTAACTGTGTAAAATAGATTATGAGTTTGCTTAATGAATTGTAATTTGTACCTCTAGGCTTACTATATTTGACACCTAATTCAAAACTTGTAATACCAGGACAGAGAGAAAGGAGAGAGAAAATAAAATTAATTTTCCCCTTTCCTTTCAGTAATGTCATTAAGAAATAAAACAAAAAATTCCAGGTAAGAAACCTTGAATGGCTATGATATAACTGTTGCTTTGCTTAAGTGGAATTAGAATCATACAATTATAAATGCTTAGCATTTTTTCACTGGAAAAGATGTTAGAAGTAATCTAAAAAGATTAAATGGACTTCCTAAAGGTCAGCATAGCTGATTAGTGGCAGAGTTTACTCTAAAACCTAGGACTCCAAACATCTTATTCAACTATAGACAGGCCTTTGCGTGAGTCACATACCGAACTAATATGACTTACGTAGTGGTAACAAAGTGGAGAGAACAGGAGTCAGGAAATGTCCACCACTTACAGGTTTACCTTGTCTAAGTCACTCAACACTCTGAGTCTCAAATTTCTTTATCTATAAAATGGGGACTACATATTTTCTGTATATATTATGGGGGTTCTGATGCTCCATAAACTTCAGGTATTGTCAATTATTACAAACAGTATTCACAGCTGAAGAACAGGATTCTTGTAAAACAAAGAAAACACACTTTTCGTAGGAAGTTAGATCTAGACTATGGCAAATGCTTCCAGAAGTCTTAGATACAAGCTCTGATTTGAAATCATCCCTGATGTTTAAAAGCAGATCATAGCTTGCCATACAAACGAGCAAGCTAACTCATCTTATGTCCATGACTTCCAGAATGGATGCCAACTTTTCTAATGCCAAACTTAAAACCTTCTTTGTATCTACCTATGACAGAAATCTCCTTTATATCTTTCTGCCTGTGGCAGAGTGCATTTGGCATGGACTCTAGAAAGAAATCATGGATGACAATTAGCCAAATACATGATGCTATATGGCAATAAAGGCATCACACCCTGCCTAGGAGCCAAGCGTCACTCCTGCTCCAACTTCTTTGGCATTATATTACTTTTTGTCTGTCTGTGAAAGTTGATGGCATGACAATGCCATCTCACTATGGGCTGACAGAACCTGTTCTATGCCAAGGTGCCCCCTCTGGGGCAGAGTCACACCTCGCCAAGAAGCACTAGTACCCGCCCCACCCAATATTATTAAAATATAACTATCCTAAGGTACTAGCATCCATCAAAGTGAAGAACACTTCCTGAATCTAGCTGCATGAAATAATCAGCCTCCTGCTTTCCCCGTTTCAACCAGAACTCGTTTGTCACTGACTTTGGGGTGAAAAGCTCTCATAAGACCTCAGGAGCCAGGATCTGAACAGCTTGAAACCCAAATGAACTAGTAAGGAGGTAAATCTGACTAGAGTAGAGGTGCTTATAGAGGGGATGGGCAGGAAGCACTGCTAGACTTTGGAGATTCAAAATGTTTCGACTTCATGTTGAAAAATGGGATACAATCAAAGGTACCTGAGAACAGGAGTTACAAGGTAAATGCAGTATTTGAGGAAGAAGATTCTGCAGGATAGACTGGGGGATGTGGTGGGGGTCAGAGAGACTGATGTTTGTGGGGCCAGTCTGGATACTGCTGCAGTGCTCAGGCAGGAGGTAATTAAGAATCAGTTTTGAGGTTATTCTGATAAATGCGGTTCCTTGGGTTACAGTGATTATTCTTTTAGATATAAGAGAAATAATGATAATAAGGAAATTATACAGATTAATTTTTCATAATTAACTGGGAAGATTTTGTTTGTTGGTTTATAAGGAGATCTGGGAGTTAAAATTAAGAGAAGTACTTGTATAATTATTAGTAAGAATTTGAAACAGCTTTAGGAAAAAAAGTGTTTATAGTAAATTTGAATTAGTCACATCAACTCAGCAAAGGGGAATGTGGGTCTTTCATCTGTCTACCAAATATGTAGTTAGAACAACTGGACAGATGCTTTTAGAGTATCATCATATGCTCTATCTTGGACCTGCCAGCTGTCTGAGCCATAGAAGCAGAGTGTGGGTGATGATGCTGTGGAATACAACATCACCTTTACAAACAACAACAAAGCAAGAATCACCTCTGGCCTAGAGAAAAGTGTTGGCAACATTTGTTAAGTACACACATGAATTTTCTTTTTCTTTTAAATTTTGCAATTAAGCCATATATTATTTAATGATCTGTGGTGAGAAATGACTAAGTCTGCTTTATAAACAAAAATGGCTTCTGTAGACCTGGAAGTGTGGCTCAACAGAGGAAATACATGAAATTGTAGTCCTAAAAAAATAGGCAAGGAACAACATACTGAAGCCCAAGGGGAAATAAAGTTGTCAAACAAAGGTTTTAAAACTGAGGATCTGTACCTCCTTAAATGGGACACTCAAGGTCTCCTCTTCTCTAACATCACACAAAGCTAAGCACACAGCCAAGAGCAGCAAAGCCCCTCTTCAAGAAAGTGGAAAGCCCTGGAAGTTGAAAATCATCAAGTCTGGCTGCTATAAAGCAGCCCCTCTCAGACACATTCTCATTCCTGACAAATACCCACCCGCCAGCAGGCCTGGAAGACACATGGTGACCAAAGCAAGTTGTCAAAACTTATCCTTATAAAATGTCCATCTTCCAAAAGCACAATCTTTGCTCAATGCCATGTTTTCCTTGGAAGACAGCTCTTCTGACAGCTATAAAAAGGTGGCTAGAATTGATGAGGTTAGCTCTCATAGTTAAAATAATGCATGTTAAAAATGTAAAGGTAAGTAATGATGGCAGAACGTTTTATCAAAAACAAACCATATTTAACAACAGAATACATCAACTTTGTTCCTCTACTACAAAAAACTTCATATTTTTAGCATTCCTCATTGGATAAAAAAAGAAAATTGGAATTAAGTTATTTGGCCTTCCTGCTTTAATTTCCTTTCTTATTCTCTAACCTCAGGTGGCTTGCCTAGCGCTACATGGCCTAGGCTACATATAAAGTTCACAGCTCCCTGCCTGATCTCATGATCCTCTATCAAAACAGTGCTTTCAAAAGTGTTTCCTGTCTAGCTCTGCCCTTGCGTGAGTGTTTTCTTGGCTGCATCAAGCTGCCAAATTAAATCCCTTTGGTAGAAAACTGCAGAGAACTCAATATAGCCCTGTCCCCCTCTCCACCTTAGGCCTGACATCCCGAAGTGACTTAGGAAGTACTCTAATGGTTACCAAATTTTGGGGAACTGATTTAACTTTTCCAGGCTAAACATGTGTTTAGGAGAGACTGCATCACTAATCATCACTTGACCTTGTGACAGACCAAAAGTTGCTGATTTTTCTTTTTTCCTGAAAAAGAAAGAAAAGAAACAACAAAAAACAACTTTTACCAGCTAGTGCAATGATGTAAACACAAAATCAGGTTGTAAGGCGACTGCGAACATGCTGACTTCCAGATGTTTGACAGAACTGTGCAGCAACAACACAAAGGAGGGTTAACAGTCTCTGCCACGAATTCTGGATTACTTTCTTTCTCTCTCTCTCCACACACGTGCACGCACACACACACAAACACACACTTCTTACAAGGTCAATTTTATGTGGCCGTCAAAGTACTTAGGATAGAAGAGAAATGAAAGTCTGTCCATCACTTGTTAAATTCCAATCCATCAACTATGGATGAAAAGATCTTCGTCTTTGAAAATACAGAGAATTTTTCCAAATCTATTACTATTACTGACTTCAGCAATAACTAAAGTGTGGTTTCTTTGAATATATACTTATTGGTACTCCATCTTTAAATAAGTTTGCACACAAGTCAAATAAGATATAACCTTGAATGGAGATCTGCATATTTTACTAAATATCTGCACCCTCCCTGGCTGCCCCATGCACGGGCTTCTTTTTTATGTATTCACCCTTGACTCACACTATTCCTGGTGGAAAATTTCCAGAAGAAAGCCAGATTTACTTGTCAGATTTACAAT